GCACCGAGTCACTACTGAAACGATCACAAGTACTATAATAAATAATTATTATCTATATATATATGTCAACACCACTTGAAGAATTTAGTGAAGCTTTATGTGAACGACTTCCTTGTATTTCTTCGTTTACTACCTTTCAGCTATGAGAAAATTTTAACCTAGTTCAATATACAATATAATATAATATAATATAATATGCAATCAGCTCTCTAATTATATTTCGTAAGAGGGGCGGACATGTTTGGATGGGAAATAAACCGAGACTAGTTTGAAATCGAAAAAGAGCAGGCTAATGAAGCTGTCCTGGCAAAATATCCCTCATTGCACCTTGTATGGCTTTGTTCGTCTTCATTAGCCCACATGGCGCGGAAAAGTAGGACGTAAAACTCCATTTCATTTTCTAATTATATTTCAACATTTCATCAACATTCTGCCAACATCAGACGGGCTCAACAACCATAGGGACTTGACTGGTTGAACCTAAGAGAATCAGTAATAGCGTTCACCGTTCGCAATTTGAGCCTTCCGGCGTTAGCATTTAAAAGTCTTTTCTTGAGATTATGTCCTCTATAGAAAAGACATAATATATAGAAAAAGAATATTAAATTCCTGGTTTTAGATATTTTTGAAGGGATTGTGAGATTTTGGTACTAATTGAAGAATATTTACATATATTCAAGACACAAATCAACTCCCCGAAAATGGCGAATCTGCCCATATAACACACCTAAATGTATTTTAATGAAATATATTGACATTAATATTTTGACTGGTGGTCAAACACGTTCTGTCCCTCAAACTTACTGTTTGACTAGATATAAGAAAACAAGAAAAGCTTTTGTTGGGTATTTGCTTAATTTTGAAACAAGTCACGTTTCATCAGAAACGAAGTAATAATTTAGAGGTAAGAACATATCTGTACATCTAAACCTGGCTTTACATTTATATTTTAGAGCTGCAAGTTTATTGTTTTTTGTTTCATGTTTGATACCAGACTGTAAAGAAAATGAATATTAAAATACATAAAATTTGAAGGTTTAAAGAACACAATGATCAGTATATTTCGATTTCACTAGATCCAAAAAGGATTACATATAACTATTGACAGAAGGTGGGACGGTGTAAGCAAGGATAAAAGGTGTAGTCAGATAGAATTACTCCAAAGTTTCTGCATGCCCCTACCCCACCTTCAAATTTTTCGTCATTTTACTTAGAGAAAGAATTGCCTATGGACACTCTAGAGCTTTTTGTGGCATCTACTCGCTTTCTTTCCTAGAAAAGCCACTGTCCAAATTATAGGGTTTGTGGAAAAAGCCGAAATAATTCTTGATTTTCATTAGAGAGTCATAGTCTAGTGAATTCCAGATTTTTTCAGGAAAAGTATACTAGCATACTGAAGGTCAACATTAATCTTCCTATAAAAGTGGTTTGTACCCCCAATTGTACACTTTACTTGTAACAAATTTGTAAATATGATATTTATACGATTTTGCGCCAAAATATGTGTCAGAATCTACCAAATCAATTCTATTTTTTTTTAAATTCTCATTGGAGAGAACCCTTTCAGATGATCCATTTAAACCTTTTAAAACAGATTCAGTCTGATCAAATGGTTATGATAATAAAAAATTTTGCCAACTGCCCATTTAAATAAATACCAGTCCAAACAAACTTTTCTTGAAATACTTTCATGATGAACACACACCTTTTAAACACACACGCGATACAAAACATTGGAAGTATTTGGCCATTCTATTGTGAACTCCTATAAACTATTAAAAACTGTCGAAACTATTTGAAACTACTATAAACTTTTGGATACTTCTAGAAACTATTGGAATCTATGTGTAGAAACCAGTTAATACTTCCTATATGGCCTACAAGAAATAGGACTATGACCGGCTTATACCTCCACGGACAGTGAAAGCATCATGACGAGGTAGAAAGTGTTGGAATGCAGCACCAACACTTATAGATACTAATGGTGAAGATAATTTTGTGGGAATTAACACTGCAGATACAGTGAAATGCATCTGGCTTTCTAGTTGATACACTGTCGAATGCCGGATGTGTACGAGAAAATATATAGTTAATTATCATTCACAGTATCATCATCATTAGTATCTTTAACTGTTGTTGTATTTGTCACCTTTGGTGTAGACAGCACATCGATAAAAATCAGCAAAGCATTCAGAGAACCCAGCTTATTACTCATTAACGCAGCCAGTCTGAACTAGCGACATTTAGACATCCTGTGTGGAATAAACTACAGCTTGGCACGATTTTTAAGGATAACTTCACTTATTTAATTCAAATGTTTCAACTTGACACCAAAATGAACCTTCTATAATCTGATAACTCCGTAAAACTAAGTAATAGATAATAATAATATTTATTTCTTATATAATGCATTCTACGATGTACATGATGGCATAACATTACAGTATCAACGCGCTTAACATTATACAAATAGTTTTAAAAATACATAATGTAATAATATATTATAACAATATATAAATAAAACGTATATATCGGGTGTCCCCAAACCTTCCCAAAGTTCGACGGGTAGTACCTCAGCTGTTGGTAAACTGATCTCAAATTTCAAAAATTATATACTTCAAGATGTCGTTGTCCAGCCCTGAAAATATGACAAGTCATCCAACAATAAAATCTACCGCAAGTACTGTCCCGAACAAAATAGCATACCAACTCGAGATTTTTCCAACTCGAGATACTGTTACGGATCTCATCCAGGTATCTGCTCCCAAGAAGTGACTATCCTGCCTTTCAATTCCTGTTCAGTCAGTTTGTCTCACTGACCACAGAACACCTTTCCTTTAGAGAATCCCAAATGGCATAATCCATTCTTGTGAATAAATTTCAGTGTAGCCTACTCCAGATATACCTTGCTAGTGTGCGACGAGGTCCTGTTTTGTTGGATGGAAACATGGTTGCGATTGGTGGGTGAAGGAGATCTCTCCGCTTTTCTGACAGATTCCCTGGCTTCAGAGACTTTAGGGGTGAACCATGGTGCTCTAGGCTTATCAGAAATAGCTTTAGTTGATAAAGGAGCCAGTACATCCAAAGTACTTCGGATTGTTGAATCATAATGGTCAGCTAACGAATTAGTACTAGATGGACACTGGGAAAATAAGATTGCAATATCGCCCCGTAAATTACCTGTAAACACTATAGAACTTGGTAATATTATTCAGTTTCGCCTCAAAAAGTTCAAAAGAAGTGTATGTCTGAAGTTTGAATGTTTCATACTGGTAATTTTTACTGTACTGTCAAATATTTTTATTCAAAATCAAAGCTGCTTGTGGGCGTATATTACCTTGCCTGGCAAGCTATCTTTAGAAGAGTAAGGTGGACGATAAATGACAAAAATATTAATTAACTGACTGAAAAATATTGTTCACAATTGGAATCGGACACGTTTCACTGATGTCATTTACACTATCATAACTAATTACTTCTTGAATTTCTGTTTTGCAAAGTAATGATCCATATACACGGAACTGCAGGCAATTATTGAAAAATGCTTGAAAATATTTTTACGCGTTTCTCAATATTTACTTTGTTTAATAGGATTATCATACAGGGATTATGATGTTTAGTTATGACACCAGGTAATTCAACTGATGAATATATTCTCTCCATGGCCAATTTGATTCAGGATGATAAAAGCATGTGTCACCTAAGAGAGTCATGAACGGATGAAATATCTATTAGGGTTTTATTGTAAAGTATCCAATGGTATCAAGTAGTTGGTGGTCCCTTCTGTTGCTGGTTTGGTACGTGATTATCTCTGGACGAGTGGACTGATCGGTTGGCAAATAACATGGTTGATGTATGAAATATAGGATCTGTTTCAATATTTCTATATCACTCTACAATAGATGTATAGAGCACATACAATTAAAATATTTACTTATTGAAATATTCAAATATAAATATGGTCGGAAGAAGTGCAATTATATGTATAAAGATTAATAACAAAAGAACCAAGACAATGAATTTATTTTAGTGTAAAAATATCATAAATCGGTTCTGGATAAGATAATATTTATCAAGTGTCGAGATATGGTATGGCTTTGATGTATCTTGATAAATGTCAGATTAAAAAAATCGGTAAATCTTATATAAATCTAAATAGCTATCGGGGGTTATATGGATAATTATGCTATATTATACTATTTTTTCTAGATAATTATAATACGTATTCGGACCTGCATGAATAAATCTAGTTGATTTTTAATGTAGAATTGATGAACAAAAATATAATATATTGATCAAAAACTTGATAAATTGTTAATCGGAGACTTCCATTGCATAAATAAGTTTGATCTAGGAAAGTTAGCTTGTTATCTTAAAGGTATAGTGGGCGTGTCAATATTTGATCCTTTAAATATCAAGCTTATGTCTGATTTAACCACGCGCTTTGGCGGATTAGAAAATAAAACTGGTTTTTGATGGTATGTGTGTTTTTTTTTTATTTCATGTAAGTTGTATGTACATGTCTATATTTTCTCTCATTGTTAAATAGTGCACAATGGATTAATAACCGTGAAATGAAGGAATATATGATAAATCATTAGAAATTTGTTTTTAACTCATAGTTTCAGGTTTGTAATTATCAGACCACTGGATTATTTCAGCCTGTTTTAAAGATATATCTTATTCGCTAAAAATTAATTTGGTCTTGTTACTAATAAAATTTTGGCCATGATAGCTTGTTAAATAATAGGCTAAAACGAGTGTGTTTTTACAATCTCTGGTAATGGAAATAAACATATGTTTAGTTAAATTACAGGGTACATGTTAAAGGACATTTTCGTTTGTAAATGTTTATTATACAAATATCTTGTTATAGCACAAGTAATTCTCGTAATTCACATAGTTGTGGGGTGCACGGCTATTTGTACCCCCACTTTATATTCTAACAAATTAAAAAAAATATAATTTGATTACATTTTTGCCCCAAAATATGTGTCAGTATGCAGGAATTTAATATTTCGAAAACTACTGTAAGTTCCAAATCACAAACACAAGACAATATTATTGAGTTTGTGCTGGGTACTCCTTACTAAATTCTTACACTAGTATTCCGTGATGATTTCCGTCAAGAATATTATGTATACCATAATTATGTGGATATTCTACGACGTTTGAACATGCATACATATTATACGAGGCACAGTGGGGTTTAGCTATAAAACTAACCAATCCGTGTATGTAAGACTATTTTCCATTGACAATTCCTAACAAGAAGTGGACACTGACGGACATGCACATAAGGTCATAGATAAAAAGAGTTGAGTTGCCAATCGACCATAATATTTGTTTGGGTATATAATATTGGTTTAAATCTGTTAAAATTATTGTTTTATTTATATTTTAGTAAATGATCAGGATCAACATAAGTTTAAAAAAGAAAAGTCACAAGCATGTACAAAAAGTCAATGCAAATGGGACAGAAAAAAAATAGATTAATCCAATATGTCGTAAGTTGACACGAAGATACTTTTTTAATTACAGAAGAAAATGTGTTCATTAGAATATTAGGATAAGAGCAATTTTTAACCTTTTACATGGTAGTGCCGCTTACTACTGGTTCACAGGAAGTGATTCTTGTTCTTTCTGTGTGTATCTTAGGATTTTGAAAGTAAGCTTGAAGTGGGGGGATTTCACGATCTTGTCTTAATATTATCTTAGTGGCAAGTGACAGCCATTGGGTCAGCATTTAGACCACATCGTTACGCCGTATATAACCATCGAAATAGTAAAACACATCATGTAAAATTCCCCGTTTATATCCTGGGGTGATAAGCTATGATCACAGATAAGATAATAGTGGCTAGGAGATAAGTCGTGATAACAGAAACAATGGAATTAACATACTAATGTAGTTTGCAGCAAATATATAAAGTTGAATAATATGTGATTTGAATGTTTATTTGAAAAATTATGTCCCTTTTCAAATTTCTACTTATTAAGACCAGGAAAAGACTCAAAATCGCTTTGAACTACGTTCATGTGTGTTGTCCAGATGTAGTTTCATATGCTAAGAGAGATCAATGTGAAGAGGATTACCACCCTTGAAGAGAAAACTGGGAAAATTAAAATCTTGCAGAATAATAATATTAAATGAAGTTGTCTAAATATATACGACATATAAATTGATTCATTGATTTACTATCGTATTTCATTTCAGAAAACTCACAAAGTACAACCTGCCATAGTAACTGTACTGGTTGTAGTGATAATTATTTCTATCAAAACCGATTTCTTAACCATAAACACACACATGTTTTTGTCTCTCACTGAACCCTTTAATGAAAAACAACAATGCCCAAATGTTCTGGGACATATGATGGAAGGTGTTTGGAAACAAAAGGCAATGAGTTTGAAGGAAACCAATGATATAGAATTGTTCTTGGATGATTCGAGAAAGCAACATGGATTAAATGTAACATTGCAGAGAAACGATTCAAAATGTGGTAATGTGTCCTTCCCTCACAAAACAGGTTCGAAAATGCAATGGTTTCGTGGTTTGTGTGACAGGAAAGGGAATACGCCGTGTTGCTTTAATAACCAATGTGTAAATAGATCTCCAGACCAATGTCGATGTAAGGATTGTTATGATATGAGACAACAAATACACGCAGAGTACTCCGACTTCATCTCTAAAGACCAACGATGTCAAATAAAACAATTTAATTATATTGAGGCTTGTGATCTACTTACTAATGCAACACTAGCCTTTGTCGGCGATTCATACATACGCCATATTTTCACCGCTGTTTTACTGTTTCTGAGAAATAATTATGTGGACGGAGCTTTGAGCCAAAATGTGAAAAAAGGTTAGTTTATTTTCCTTTATAACCCCGTCACACTAGACTATGACCACAACGATGTTACGGCGACTAGAGAAAGCGAGAAAAAGTCTTAAACAGTCGACCTCATACCTATGCGTCCATATTGTGCTCCCATTTCAGACTTCCCATTAATATATGTGGCTTGATAGAGGCATCCTACTAAAATCTAGTTGCAACCTCTATCGGTTTTACTAGCCATCCTGATCGCTCAGGAAAAGCATGATATCCATAGGATCGCGTTACCAGCCTTGTAAACTGCACCATATCGTATTGAGAACTTGGTGGAAACCGAACGGCGCGAAATATGTACATTGCAAACCCACCGAGATCGTCAAACGAATTCGTTGTTATATATTTATAAGTATCATTTCAGAAACTCGAGAGTCATGATGCCGTTTGTCATTGTATCCTTTATGCAACGCCTTTGCAACGCGTATACTGCGCAGGCTTGCGTTTATGGAGATGCTACTACTCATGTATAACGATCTTCGCGATTCCATTGCGTTATCAACGCGTCCAGAACAGGGCCAGGAACAGGACCGAACCATGGCGTTTGTTTTGGCTATCATTGGTGAAAATGTTGACTACAACACGATGTCAGTCTACCGAAATGTTTATGCAAGTCAAATTACCATTACAGTTTATCAACATCCGATTGACTGCCACTGCTTACTAAACGACTAGAATTTTAGAAATATCTTTTTCCGCCCCTGTAAATCTTTTAACATCTTACAAAATCTGAAACGATGCAATTTCAGACGTTAAATTCCTAATCTTGACAAAAAATTAGAAATAGGCTTGCAATAATGGCAAAATTATGAAAGGGGATATTTAAGAAACGCACGAACTAACTTTGCATAAAATGACCTGAGTCCGATTCAAAATATAAACTCAGCGATCAAGATTTCACCTGGGCGGACTACACTTATTAAATCGAAAAAAAAATTAAAATGGTATGCAAACTATCTTTGTTGTTTAACAGTTGCATTTTGTTTCTTTTTAGATATCTATGACCAATGCACTGGAATGTATATGTTCACAGAAAAAGTATGCCGAAATCATTTAGACCAATGGAAAACTTCCGATATTTGTGGTGGGAAAGTTAATCTCCTATTCCGTTACTTTTATTCTAGTGCCTTTGGGTCGCAAGCTACAAATTTCATTCAGAATCGGATGTATAATAAGTCAAGAAGTTTATTCTTATTTGGTGTTGGCCTCCATGATAGTTTTAATACGACCAATATTAAATCTAAGCTTATCACCCCAATTTATCAATTGAGTAAAAAGACTCAGTGGCCCAAATTATTATGGGCAACCCCTCACCAACCTGGTATTTTGAAAAATGGAAATATAGAAGTTCAATCTAAAGCAAAAGTCAAGGAATTCATCTCTAAAATGAACGATATATTATCACCTTTGAATATCCCACAATTTAATACTTATGATATGACGAACGGTGTCATGAGTTTCGATGGTAACCATTATGGTATCGGTGTCAATTTGTTGAAGTTTCAAGTTTTACTGAATTACATTCAGGAATTGAAAAATAACGGACAATGGTAGTGATAACATTTAGTGTTTTCAATGAATGACCAATCAGATTTATTAACACCAACAAATATTACGCGAGTTATTATTTCAAGCCAGCAATCATAAGTTACGCAATCATAATATAATACATTTAGCAACAGATTTATTGACTCCAAATATTGTGTTCATGCTAGCTATCAATAGTAACCTAATCCTGTTTCCGCCAACGCAACAGCATAGATACACATGTCAGGTGCGGGAAGACAAAAGGTGAAGTAAGGATGAATGGTACAATGTTGTTCTTGGGTAAGGGACATCACTCAGTTTCTATCTTCATTCAGACTACAAATGAGGACGATAACGACAACCCGGATCAGTGTCAAGTAAAAACGAAAAAATGATTGCCCTCCTCAAAAAATTGTAAATACTCCAATGTCTTAAGCCTACCATTCTGTCATATTTCATATTGGATTATTACTTGACTGCAAAGAAGAAAAGATCACGAGCACTTGACATTCCCTTGTTTAAAGCATCATATCACATTTCCGCATTTTTAAGATGTGCAGATGTCAAACCCACTTCAATCAAACCCTATTTCAGAATTCTTCTGGCTGCAAATAATAAAGATAATACTTTCCCAATTGTTTCAATTTTCCTGTATGGGAGGGATGGTAGAGATGTGTATGCAGCTACGAAAGGCTATAATCTGATAACATACGAGAGTCAAGTTTTTGTTTGTTTTGACCTTATCGGTATCATCTCGACTTAAAAGTTTCTAAAATTGGATATTTTCATACTTCTAAGGAGTTACCACGAAACTTGCTCGTGCTTCAATGTCCTCACCCATATGTATACATATGGTCATTCAGTGTCTTGTTTAATATTGTGGGGTGCATTTCACTTTCGTCACAATGCTTTCCAGATATTGCTTGGCCTGAAGGCATTTTACTATCTCTGATTCATAATGAGATACTGAAAATGTTGATTAATGAATGGGTTGACCAAATATGCCAACAAGTAGCTTGTAATCCATAAATGAAGCACAAAATGAATATTCCTTCACACATTTTACATTTTGACTACATTTTCGTTTTAAGAAAAGTAGTCTATTCAAGCAAAGGGACATGTCCACCAGAATTATTATGATTAAATTAAGGGCAGTATACAAATTGTAACATCTATACTTAGAGACATATTTCTTTACAATAGGCCTTTATTTGGCTTAAATCCGTACACCTACATAACGGAATTAAAAAGTCTACGTAAACCTTTTGAATGGCTTTGGTGTTCAAAACTTAACGGCAGGATTTTTTAAGTTATACATTCATACAAGTTAAGGACAAATTTCTCTAGATTTTGGTGTTTAGTTCATAAATTTGTGCAAAAACATTTTTTAGACCTACGAAATAATCATAATGCTTGTTTGAATACACAGATTCATGTATATTCTTACTAAACCGACAATCTGTCTTTCAATACGGGGAAACATCTGAAGAACGGAAATTTTCAAGGAAAAATTGATATTATAACAGTTGTCGTTTCCGTCTTATTTATTTGTTTTACCGCTAAGCCTTTATATGCTCTTTCTAAGCTCTTATATACTCCTGTTATCATGTTACGGTTGTTGCTTGAAATGATAGAAGACAGGGTTTAGATAATATAACTTGTATTGCTTCAGTTGTTAATTAATTACATGATAATAATAATAATAATATGTTATAAAACTAAACATTAAAATACAAGTGATAATTATGAAGAATTAACATAAATTCAATATAAATATTCAATACTCAATGCATACATAATATATAATATAAGTTGGGGGTGTTTATATAAAATGTCATAAATATAATAATTAACTAATATAACATTGTTTGGAGAGAGTTTACTCGCTTGTAATGTCGAGAGGCACTACTTGCCAATATTCTTAGGGCACGACTCCAACATTATCGTGTGCACTTGTGAGTTAACGCATTGAGTCCTGGTGCAGCCTTGGTAGATAATCTAAGGCTCAATTTAATATAATTGAATAGTCACTTTTATAGATTATCCACCGCGTTGCACCAGTTGGGGCAGTCAACAGGCAAGTATGGAATCTAAGGCTCAAAGTATAATAACGTTTGATTAATTGCTTTTATAGATTCCCTATCAGGCTGTGACTACCAATGCTCTCATATAATATAATAAATATATATAAACTGAACCTCACCTTGAAATGATAGAAGACAGGGTTTAGATAATATAACTTGTATTGCTTCAGTTGTTAATTGAAGAATATGGCAGAGGCTGGGTTATATAGCGTATTCTAGGACGCTGTATCTATAATCAAATACAGAGCTAACAAACAGTTTGTTTGTGGCAACCCAGCATAGTAATTAAAACTATAGCCAAATCCCTCTAATCAACAACCAAGCTTAATTAGCGATAATACCCCGTCTTCCATTTCAGGTGATAGTTAATCTCTATATGAGATTTATAATTAAACATTAATATGATGAAGGTTAATCTACTACAATATTTGAAAAGAATTAAGAGTTGACACATTCGTATTCCATCACAAAATAATTTCCAAGCAGTGTTAGTTGATATATAAATGTTTCGTGGAGTTATTTCCCATAGTTCATAATTTGCAGTTTGTTAAGGCAAATTGTTTTCCTACAGAAACTTCGCGTTCATGAGACATACTTTCTATGCCGGTAATTCGTTTCTTTTTAATCGCGTTGACAGTGTCAGACTACATAAAATAGTTGATATGGTAAAATTTTGACATGGGCCAAAGAAATGAGAGTTTACATTGCTTTTACTCGGTGGAGGTGGGCGTGGTGCAAACCATTCCTTCACCATGTAAAGTAATTGAAAGTGGGAGGAGGGGGGAGCAAAGCCGGGCCAGCATCTTTGCACCCCTCCTCCAGGTTCTCCGGTAGAAACGCCAATGTGTGCAATATGCTAGCTATTTGCTGAGTATTTTGATGTACAATTAATTCTGTTAAGTACCCTGTATTTGTAAGTTCCACACGTTTTGTTTTTAAAGTGTTCAGTAGATGTGGCTCAAGCATGCGCAAATTATACAGAATTATAACCTAACCCACCTTTTTCATCAAATCAGCAATGGCTAAATTTTCTATTTAGTGAAAACATATTTCATGAAGAATATCGTGACATTTGCCTGCAATCCAAGGTTTCATGCTGTAAGCTAAGTTTCTTACGGCGGAATTTACTTCGTGCTGAAGGGAAAACGTGGCAAATAGATTTTATTGTGTGCACATTTGTCTTAGCCACTTAAAAAGGTGCAGTTCCGGATTTCATATAACATGTAGGCCATGTATAGGCATGTATAGTACCAATGGAATCAATGATAATAGTAAATATATCTTCAATACTCTTATCTCATGAGCCTAAAAACGTGACTATATCTTCATTCAGAACAGAATAGATATATACTATTCATTGATTTCTGACTATAAATACAGCTTTTAATACACAGATTGGTACAGATATAACTCTTCTAATGTTTACCCTTATTACTTTTCAGAAATGCTATACATGTATTATGATTATGTCAGATTATTTTTTAACTATGTAAGATCACTCTCAAATGATGTTCCTTTGTTTCTATCTATTGCTTTAATTATTACGTTTGCAAAGATATTTTCATGCTTTTTTATGCCACCATTGACTTCTATTTGTGACATTAAACTTCTTCTGCCGATGCCTGTGATTCCTGCAATTCTATTGAATGGAAAAGTTTAATGTTATCAAATCAGATGGCCATTTGAAATGGTGGAAATCGACAGAAAAGACATAGAGAAGCTCATAGAACTTGGGCGTGGTCATCGATGCCTATATGATGCAAGTTGTGCAGAATATAAAGATGCACAACTTGTGCACAATGTCTGGGAATCGATTTTCAAGGCTATGGGATATGATTCCATCAAGGCTGGATGTCTCTTGCATGTATATATGTATACAGTCAATATAGAAAATGATCCTAGGCTGAGTATCAGAACTGCAATGGCCTAATGAGAGGTGTTTTTCGTCTCCTTGCGTATTCTTCCTGCCAGGAAACTGTTGCTACATTACAGAAGCACTAGGTGAAGGATTCTCTGACGTTCATGGCTTCTCCTGCTGCTCTGGTACCAATTCCAGAAAGTTGTCTTCAACTTTCAGAGCGTCCTTCCTCTGCTTCTCTTATTTGGGTTTTAAGTTGGGCTTTAAGCAATATCTGACGTAGTAATGAGTTTTATAAGGCAACGATGAAGCAAAATGGGAGCATCGGCATGGGACAAATATATCACCTCGGAAAACATTTGCAAATATATATTGATAGCTCTTGGAGCGCTCTTGGAGCATCTTGGATGACATTTGAAAATAAATATTTGTAGTTTTAAAACGTATCATTTCATATGATATTTGAAAATAAACGTTGATAGATGTAGTATTAAAGCTATGTCTTCTTGTTATACTGGAAGTTTCAACTGAAAATATCGAGCATTCATAAGGCTCAACTCCAACATAAGTTTAACTGTTTACTCAATTAGTTGCACACTTGTTTTACAGATTGGGCATGTAGATAAGCCGTTAGCAAGAAAATTCTGTCAATCACAAATCGCATCCAAAGAATGGCGAAATCGAGAGTAAAAGTTGTATAGTAGTGGACTCCTTCAAAGAAAAGTTCCATCAGGTGTTCCGAAAGGAGTAAGCATGATCTGCTTCGCACGACACCCGTTCATACTATAATGGTCAATATCATGAGAGACAACAAGATCAATTCAAGTCTGACCAAACAATTCATTAATTTCATTGTATTCATTTCAGAAATATTTCACTTATAATTTACATCCGTATTTTCTAATAATGAAATAGGTAGACCGATCCTTAAAGCCTCATATCTGTGTCTAAAGAAGAGCAATTAACGGTTAATAAGTGTAAATCGTTCAATAATACATTATGTCTGCCATTTATTTCTATATTAATGTATTCAAATAGTCACGAAGTTTTTTGATTTAAAACCTAAATTTTCATGTGAAACTGTACGCATTTAATTGACTCTTCATATCTAGTGGAAATTCTACATATATTATTTACCTTATACATGATTGTGGACGTGAACAATATTACATAAGAAATGTGTGAGCCACTATAAACCATTTTAAGGAGATGAAATTAATGGAGTCCTGCACCTGATCGGACTAAATAATGACGGACGAAGGGGAAAAGGGGGTGGAAAATTCGAAGGTATGATTTCGCCCTGCAAGCATACGTTTTATTACCGGGTCATCTCGGGCTCCCGGCCATATAGGAAATAAATAAGAATTATTATCCAGTGTATATGCAATATGATGAGCGTATCAATTGGTTGGCTCAAAAGTACCGGTTTTTTTTTCAGCGTATTACTTTCTGTCTGAGCTAAATAATACATTTTGGGGAAAATTGAGTTACATTCCGGAAAGTCGATAAGTCTACGTAGTTATCGTCAGGACCAGTAAATACATGTACTTAAAATTATGCTTTACTTTTGATTCCGTAATCAGAAATGTAGTCAATTGGATGTTCAAACAGAAATTTGTGGCTGGTATAATGCCATTTTAAAGTGGCCACATTACCACTTATACCTCACATCCAAGGGAAAATGTAATGTC